AGCCCAGGGAACCCAGTGCTTTCACCGTGCCCACATGGCAGTTCATAGCTGTCTGTACCTCCAGGGCCGGAAGATCTGAGCCCGCACAGAACACAGACATGCGGCAGAACACCAGTGCAAGTAAACATAGATGGCTCAGCAGTTGCTGTTGTGTGTGGGCAGCCGAGCTGCCCCGGCAGGTAGCGTGCGCGTAGAGGGCTGGAGTTGGTTCCCGTCCATGTCGGGCAGCTCCTAACTAGTCTGTAACTCCAAAGGGGCCTGAAGCCTTTGTGGGCACTCTGCTCTCATCCTCACACATAAGTGAGGAAAAAGTGAGATCCCTCTGTGGCGCTTCCTGTCCTGTCTTTATTTTCTGCCTTATAGATATGAATTCTTAAATCTTTCCGTTTTTTCCCCGCTTCTGTCATTTTAAATATTTTAGAGATCTTATGTGTTTACTTAAAAAAAAGTTTGCGTGCAGGTATTTTCCTTGCATATGTATCTGTGCACCACATTTGTACTGCCCAGAAAGCCAGAAGGCTTGTCGGACGCCCTGGGACTGGAGGGACAGTCCCTCACATGTGCTGTGAGCCACATGTGGGTGCTGGGACTGAACTGTCCTCCGAAAGAGCAGCCAGTGCACCTAACTGTCCATCTCCACTGCTTTGTGTGTTTACATTTTGAGAGCATGGAATTCATATGTGAATTAACTGTCGTTTTAAAAACAGGATTACAGAGACATTATAGACACTCCAATGGACTTTGGAACTGTAAGGGAAACTCTAGAAGCTGGGAATTACGATAGCCCTTTGGAGTTTTGCAAAGACATCCGATTGATATTTAGCAATGCGAAGGCATATACACCCAACAAAAGATCAAAGGTAATGTTTTTCTGTGTTTTATCTTAACAAAGTTTTGATGAGTTATGTATTTTTCTACTTGATAGTAGAAAAATCCTCCAGAACATGGAGGATCACTGGGTAAACATAAAACTTCTGACTTGAACAAAGCTGCTGCCAGTGCTTACGTAAGTACAGTTTTTTTATCTTAAAAGTATGTGTATGTGTGTGATGTTAAATGCGAATAGAGAAAGCTGGTGATGATACCAAAGTTTAAATTGTATATTAGACATGCTAAGAGATCACTTGTATCTCCCAGTAAGTAAGTCCAAGTTACAGAATCTGTATAAAAGGTACAGAAACAGTCTTCATTGCTGTGAGGTGGATTATGTATATAGCATGGATGTTGTGAGCATAACAATGATTCATGCATGTCCCAAGTGGATTGTTGAAAACAGGAGATTATTTCAGGCTTTTCAGAATGGTATGAATTTCAGACTTTGAGGTGTAGCGCATTTGTGGGAGTGTCCAGTATTGTTACTGGCTCATGTGTGAGAGCCTGGGTGCTTCTCTGCGCTGCTGCTGAGTAACACAGAAAGTGAGCACCCTGTCTCATTTCCATTGCCAGTCTTTCTCCGTTATGTATCATGTTACCTTAGGGTGTTCATCCATAATGCCCCTTTCTATTTTTAGCTTGTCGTCACTTTTACTATTTTGTTTTTCTCAGTTAAAATATGTTGCTGAATTTCCAGTGAGAACTAGTGAGGCAACATGCAAAATGATGCTTAAAACGATCACATGTTAGACTTACAGTGGCTCAGATAGCCTTGTTACCTTGATGACTGACTTTATTACTTGGTTTTGAAAGAAACGAACGTGTTTGTAAAGTAGTAGAAATAGCTGTCATGTTTTTCAAAGACAGGTGATAAGAAGGGCTCGCCAGAGACAACAGGTCTCCCAGTCTTTTTATGCTTGTACATTTTCCTCCTAGTGTCATAGATGACTGGGACTCTGATGTGTGCATGTGTGTCAAGACCAGGGGGCCAGCGGTGTGTGCTGTTCTCAGTGTTAGCTGCTTATTCTGGCCACCCGAGTTTGATTCCTAGATCCCACATAGTGGCAGGAGAGAACCAGCTGCTACAGTCTGTGTAGACTTGCTAGCCAGCTGGTGTCAGAGATTTGTACCTGTCTCCCAGGGATTACAAAATCCACCATGTTAAGCTGGTTGCTGAGGCTCATGCCTGTAATCCCAGCACTCAGGGAGGCAGAGGCAGGCGGATTGCTGTGAGTTTGAGGTCAGCCTAGTCTACATAGAGAAACCCTGCCTCAGAAAAAAACAAAAAACCTAATTCTCCTCTCCAAAAATTCACCATGTCTGGCTGCCCTCCCATCCCCCAGTGTGGATAGTGGGGCTTGAACTCTGGTCCTGGTGTTCTCAGAGAATGTGCTTTATTGGTAGAGTGCTTACCTGGCATGTATGCCAATGTGGGTTCAGTCCCCACAGTGCATAAACCGGTCAGCGGCACAAATTGCATGCCCACGCACTTAGAAAGGGACAGCAGGAGGATCAGAGTTGAAGATATCTTTGCCTCCATAGTGAGTGACTGGGCTCCATGAAATACATGAAATTTGAGGATGTATTTTCTTGAGTGGGATACAAGGCATTCTTTTGTTTATTAGTGATATTTAGATGAGGTGGCATCCCAGTCAAACTGCAGATAGATTTGTGTAAAAATAATTTTGTTGCAAACACAAACTGCTGCTTTGCTTCCTAAATACCAGTGTTAGAAATAATGCCCAAAGTAGCTTAAGGAGGAGCACGCATGTAGAAACTGGCTGGACCAGTGCTAAAATGGAGAAAAACCCTGTTTGGACTCCTGAGAGCACAATAGAAATGTGGCTTGTGGAGTGTAGAGTTGCTGTGTTCGTTACTAGCTGTCTGCAAGACCTGTGTGTGCATGGCTCCCACATCCTACAGATGCCTCTGATGGGTGGCAGGTTGGTACCATCAGTCAGTAGTGACTCATTGCAGGTGACCTCTGACAATAAGTGAAAACCTGTGACACAAGTACTGTGTAACTTTGGTTTGTTTTTGTATCCTTACAGATTTACAGTATGACCTTGAGATTATCTGCTTTGTTTGAAGAAAAAATGAAGAAAATCTCTTTTGATTTTAAAATTGGTCAAAAATTCAAGGAGAAACTTCGACGGAGCCAGAGATTCAAGCAGCGGCAGAGCTGTGCCAGTGCCACTCCCGACAGGAGTGGAAGGTGAATGGATTTGCATGGGATTGATCTAAATTGTGGTGAAAGTCCGTGTTGTTGGAGTAGTGATCTGTACACTCCCAGCTTTTATGTAGCTTTAAGTTCAAAATCAAGAAACCCTTAATACTGTGTTGTATATTTACTCTGTATATTTTGGTGTCTGGTTATAAAAGTGTAGGTTTAAGTTATCCTGTTGTTTTTTAATCCTACTCCAGTCTGAACAATTCTTTAAAATGCCTTGTAAGCAGCAGTGCACTCTGTCTATGCATAATTGGTGGTGTTTTACTTTTACCTTCATTGTTGAAGGGTTTTTGTTGGCTTGTTTTTGGCTTGTTTTTTTTGAGACAGGGTTTCTCTGTTTTAGCTCTCGATGTCCTGGAACTGGCTCTGTAGTCCAAGCTGGCCTTAAATGCACAGAGGTCAGCCTGCCACTGCCTCCCAAGTGCTGGGATCCCAAGTGTGCGTGCCCCCATCATCACCTGGCTGAAGCTAATTTCTTAAAATAGGTTTTTAAGATTTATGTTTTAAGTGTATGGGTGTTTTGCCTGCATGTATGTGTGTGTATCACGTGTGTGTCTGGTGCCTTTGGAAGCCATGAGGGTATCAGGTACCCTGGACCTCAGGCTGTAGAAGGTTGTGAGTTGCCATGTGGGTACTGAGAGTTGACCTTGGGTATTTTAGAACAGCTGCAGTGCTCTGACCACTGAGCTCTCCCTATAGCCCTGAAGAATAATTATGATGTGTAGTGAGCTCTTGTCACTTCTGAACTTCTTCCCTTATGTTTTTTCCTTTTGCTGTTTGCAAGGTTTGTTTTTATTGTTTTGTTTTGTTTTCAACCTACCAGATGAGTAAGGTTGGAGTTCTTGTGTGTATATTACTTGGGAATTTATTCAATTCTATGAGTATTAAGTTAATTTGCCAAACTTGAAAAGGATTTCTCTTTTCTCTCTCTGTCTCTGTCTGTCTTTGTTTTTTTTTTTTTTGAGATAGGGTTATTCTGTGTAACAGCTCTGGCTGTTTTGGACCTGCTCTGAAAAGGAGTTATCCATGCATTCATTCATTCATTCCTGTATTCGTTCATTCATTCATGTTTTTTCAAGACAGGGTTTCTCTGTGTAGCCCTGGCAGTCCTGGACTTGCTTTGTAGACCAGGCTGGCCTTGAACATACAGAGATCCACCTGCTTCTGCGTCCCAAGTGCTGGGATTAAGGTGTGTGCTACTGCACCTAGTTTTGAAAAGTATTTAATGTACTATTTCTTTAAATGTTTTTTCCGTATCTTCTTTTGCTTTCCTCTTTTTAGGACTTAACAGAATTTCTATGTGAATAATATCCAGGTTTTGTAGGGTTACAGAATGTATGCTTAGGTGTAAAATTGTCTGTTTAATAGGGTCATTTGATCATTTCTCCAGTAAATAAAACTGTCAAATTTAGAGTAAGGAGATCTTTATCATAATAATCCACGCCAGAAGATTGTTAATAGTGCGTATTTTATTGTTTTGTTTACGTGATTCCCTCCCCATCTCAGGTTAAGAAACAGTACATTTTATGTGACTACTCTCTGGCCATTTACTTGTATTAATATTTGTTTCTCTTGTTTATACCTTTCTGCAGAAATATCAAGCAGAAGCAGTTGAAATTTCCGACAAAAGTAATTCCCCAGCTGGTGTGCTCTCCTTCCCAGTCTACCTCAAGTCGGGCACCCTTGTCTGCAACCCGCAGGGCAAGTGCTGGCTTCTCCTCAGGCTTTACCTCTGCGGACTCTTCAGACTCAGCAGGATTAGAAGGGCTGAGAAGAAATAGACCCAAGACACTGGGGAATGGCGCTGTGTTGTCTGGTGAGGAGCCTACGGTTGCTTATCTTTCAGCTCGTTACTGTTGGGTTAGAAAGAGCATGTCACAGGCCTGGCACTGAGCAGGAGACAGCGTTAATACAGTTGGAACACTGACATGCTTTTGCTAAGATCTGGGTTTCACAAAGTACATTTTATTTTTTATTTGTCAAGACAGACTTTCTCTGTAGCCTTGGCTGTGTCCCTGGACCAGGCCGGCCTTGAACTCACAGAGGTCCTCCTGTCTCTGCCTCCCGAGCGCTGGGTTTGAAGGTGTGCGCCACCACGCCCTGCCTACAAAGTATGTTTTAAGTAAGAAAAAGTTTAGAAGTACAGAGAGTCATTTTAGGCTGGTAGCCCAGTACCATCCAGTTGTGCCGTTGCTGTGTTGGTGCTGTGACTCGAGCAGATGCACAGCCCCTTTATAGCGCTGTGCAGTGAGGCCGCTTACTTACCTGCTTGTACTGTGCTGTGCTGTGTTGACACTGTCTGACTTACTGTCACAATTTACAGTTGTCCACGTTAGCAGTGTCAAATATTGCTGTTAGTACTGTTAATGCTATTGAGAAAGACATCCACAGATTGGGAAGGAAGAAGGAAAAAGGACCTTCCTTGGGGAAGGTGAGGCTGGTGCACTTTACAGTATGTTGTGGACGCAATCATAGAATGAAGTCCCCAAGTATGTAGGGATGGGAGCCTGGGAGACCTGTCAGTATTAGGCTGCTTTTGCTGTGCTTTTCTGAAATGCACAGACTCCTAACTGGTGTCTAGGGAGCACAATTGACTGCTTGTCCACATGTCGCACAGGCACATCACTCTTCAACTAGACCCTTTTTCCTCACTTGTCCCTAAGATGGCATGTTAATATTAATCTCACAGTATAAAACCACCCAACTTTTTACAGGTCCCAGCACTCTTTAAAAATTCAAACACTTTGAAAGCTCAATCTCTTAAAACAACTGAAGTCTCAAAGTTCAAAGTCTCTCTAAAATTTTCTTAAAAGTCTCTTAAATGTGGGCTCCTGTCACATCAAAAATCAGTTATGTCTTCACGATCAGCCTGCAGCAAAACCCAAATTCCCAGTGTAACAAGTTTAGTGCTTCGTGTCTGGGTCCATTCGTGACTCTGAGGGCCACAGAAGCCTCTGCCTTCCTAGGCTAAGGACACCCCACCCCGCAGCTACTGCTGTTCTCGTTTTATCCTCGCGCTGTCATCTTACTACAGCTGGGCCATGCCTTTATCACTGTCTTTTTTAAAGTTTTATTTTTTTATACAGCATTCAGTCTGCATGTGTACACCAGAACTCACTTTAGATGGTTGTGAACCACCATGTGAGTGCTGGGAATTGAACTCAGGACCTTTGGAAGAACAGCCAGTATTCTTAACCTCTGAGCCATCTCTCCAGCCCCTTCTGAGCTCTCTTATCCACCAGTCTCTGCCTTTGCTGTGGGTAAGGCTTGTGCCACCACACCCAGCTGCTTGGGAGGGAAAGGATTTGTTTGGCATGGAACTCTCAGGTCCTCTCTGTTAGGACAAATAGGTAGCCACACCTGGAGGGCATGGTTATGTTGCTCCTTAAAAGGACCAACCCGCCACTTTGTCTCTTTCTCTCTCAGCTCTTGCCCTCTCCTTTCTTGCCTTCTAACCTTTCTCTGTCGGGGCACCCTCCCTTCCCCCCATCTTGTCTCACTCTTTCCTTCTTTCTCTCTCTCTCTTCATCTCCATCTAATGAACCTCTTGCATATGAAAATCTGCTGTGCGCATTATCATTTATTTGGTCCTAACACTATCACTGACGGAAGTCAGTTTAGGAACTTGAGGCAGGAACTGATGGAGGAGGGCCACTTACTGGCTTGTTCCTCATGCCTTTGTTAGCCTGCTTTTCTAGGAGCCCAGGGCTTGTACCACCTATGAGGACCTAGTTCCTCCCAATCAATCTTCAATGAAGGAGATTCCCCTGTATACCACCTCATGCTCATGCCACGCAGAAATGCAAGGAAAAACTGATTAAAAGTCCTTCTCTCTGTGAGCTAGATTTATGTGTCACAGCTGTGTTTATTGTCAGAAAACTGTTGGAGATCTGGAACTGCCTTCTTACAGAAACCTGTCTTGATGGCACAGAAGGCACAATAGTCAGTGGGGCTGATTTCATTTGAAATGGAGGTTTGCTTATAAATTGTCTTCAGAATGTAGCTCGGTGTGGTGGTCATCTTTTGAAAATAAAAGTGTGACTTAATTTAGAATACCGATTATGTCCTTTTTCGGTTTTTGGAAACGGTTTCTCTGTGTAGCCCTGGCTGTTCTGGAACTCCCTCTATAGTCTGGGCTGTTCTTGAACTCAAAGAGATCTGCCTGCCTCTGCCTCCCGAGTGCTGGGATTAAGGGTGTGCACCACTACCACCCGGTGATTGTGTAATTTTTAATATTAAGGTTTTAAAAATATATTTTAAAAACTTATTCTATATACAATGATCTGCCTGCACATATACCTGCTTGCCAGAAGAGGGCACCAGATCTCATTACATTTGGTTGTCTGCCACTATGTGGGTGCTGGGAATTGAACTCAGGACCTCTCAAAGAGCAGCCAGTGCTCTTAGCTTCTGAGCCATCTCTTCAGCCTCCCAAGGTGTTTTTTTGTTTCGTTGTTTGTTTGCTTTTAAAGTCACTTTTTCTCCAAAGCATTATTTGCAAGCATTCAAAGTATTTTAAAGGTCTGGTTTTAATTTAACAGTTCTTTGTGTGTGTTTGTTTTCTCTGTATGTATTCTCTGTATGTATACATGGAGGTCTGGTTGCTCTTGGCATGTGGGTGCTGGGCTTGAGTTTTCTGCAAGAGCAATAATTGTTCTTTTGTGTTGAACCATCTCTCCAGCCCAAGTATAAACTTTGGTTACAGACAGCAGACTGTATATCTTTTTATTTATTTTTTAGGCAGTGAAATGGAAGATTTCATAACTACCTCTTCATCTTCTTCAGCTTCAAATAGTTCAGAGGAAAGCAAAGAGAGTCCTAGAGCTCGAGAGTGCTCCTTGCGCAGCGGCTTGCTGAGAAGCAGCAGTCTGAGGGTGACCAGAACAAGAGCTGCTCAGAGAAAAGCTGGTCAGTGAGAGGGGTCTGGATTTAACTAACCATTGTCAGTTGACTTAATTGAATTCACCTGGATGTGATAAAATGTCAACACTCGAGAGTACTTTTATAGAAACATTTGAAAACTTAGTAGATGTGGTGTCCGAGTGGGAAACTGAGGCAGGAAATGAGGAAAGAGGCCAGCATGGCCTATACATGTAGCATGTATACATGTAGTACTAAGAAAAGCCTTACCTAATCCTGTCATTTTATTTCCAGGTTCTTTTTCTTTAGAAAATGGATGTGGCAGGAAAGCCACTCGGAAGAGAGTCTACTCAAGTGATTCTGATAACAATTCAGGGGAAACAGACGAGAATCTGAAGGGCAAGGCTGGAAGCAGCCGGAAAGTCCTCCGGAAATGTGCTGCTGTCGCCGCCAGCAAGATAAAGCTGATGAGCGATGCGGAGGAAGGCTCGAGCTCAGAAAGCCTCTGCTCTGCTCGGAAACTGCCACATCGCAACGCATCGGCTGTGGCCAGGAAGAAGTTGCTGCACGATGCTGATGATCAGAGCCTTAAGTCAGACACTGAAGACCTGAAGCAGCAGAATCCAGCACTGTTGGTGTCCAGTTCTCACACTGCCCAGGACAGTGTCAGTGACTCCGAGTCAGAAAGTGACTTGCAAGTGGCCCGGAAGAACTGGCATGCTGATGGCTGCACATCCCATACTGCAGCAACGTGCAAAGCAAAACTTCTTCCAGTAGAGTCGTCTGAGGAAGACTCTAGGGGCCACGAGTCAGATAACGGACCCAGCAGCCCTGCTGACCCTTCTGCCTCTGGGCAGAAGCTTGGGCCAGAGTGCATCTCTGAGGAAGCTGACTCAGAGCCAGGGAGTAGTACATTATGCAAGAATGTACATTTTTTCAAGAAAGCAAAGGTCTTGAGTGATTCAGAAGATTGTGAAGAACAAGGCAGAGAGAATAGGAGAGGTCACCAAGGAGAAGGAAGCCCAGGTTCTGAAACTCTGAAGACTGAAGCTGTTGTTTCACCCCAGTGTCTCTTGGGTGGTGGCTCTGAGACTGACATGGACTTCGATGTTGGTGCAGTGAAAGAGAAATCACACAGCAATACGGACGGTAATTCTAGACATTCCCCTGCTCACTGATTCACCCTTCCTCCCTTTTCCATCAGTAAGAGATTGTTGCCCTCCTGTAGGTTTCTTTTACCAGTTGCTTTCCTGGCCGTGTACTAGCCTGTTGTTCGGCCTTTCTGTTCTCACAGTTAGTGCGTAATCACCTTAGTCACTAACAGTCAGGCTTATCCCTAACTATTCCATTGAAGGATTTACTTTGAGTGTTGGTAATGGGCATCATATTAGAGAAAGTACTTGGGCACACCATGGTACTGATGCTGGAGAAGGAGAGAAGGTGGGACTAGTTTACTGGTAGTAATGATGGCAGCTGATGGAACAGTTTTGTTGAGCCTGCCTATTAATACTGTCCTTGGTGGGTTCGGGAGAGGTGCCAGGTCTGGGGGAGCGCTGGTGGGGAGTGACCACTGGAAAGGGCCAGCCCATTTCTTGTCATGTACCATACCTCACTGGGCTGGTAAGAAGTATGGACTTACATGGACTTAAACATTTTATTATTTCTTTAGAAATACTCACAGATTAAAAGAATACTCTTAATTTTTAGATTCTGTGTCACGAGAGAACGGACAAAGGAAAAAAGTTTCCCGGAAAAGGGTCTGTTCCAGTGACTCAGAAAGCAGTCTACACGTGATTAAGAAGTCACCCAAAGACAAAAGCAGTCTCTTGAGGCTCACTCGCAGTGCTAGTATGGCTACTGACAAACCCAAGCTCACAGGTGATGCAGAAGACTCAGAAAGTGTACGCACTCGTAGCAGGACAAGAAGGAAGAAGCCCATCCGACTTGCTTGTGCCACAGCAAATAAGAGACTGAGTGGCGATGAGAAACATGCACACTGTGAAGTGTCAGAAGAACTGCCTGCCTGCGTTAGAACGCTCCCTGAGCCTGAACCCCAGGGCAGTAAAAAAAATGCCAGGCAGACTGCACGTGCAGCCTTGGATTCTGAAGCGGATTCTAGTCTTGAGCACACAAAAACCATACAGAATAGGCAAACAGACAGTGTCTGCATAAGGCAGCCTCCTATAACCCGAAGCTGCTCTGCTGGCCCTTCTGAGGAGGATGCCAAGAACCGTACCCTAGAGAGTGAGGTTAGCTTGTCTTCTGAGTCAGTGTTGTCCCCAAAAGCTACTGTAGAGAATAACTTTGAAGAAGAACTGAGTTACGGGTTACGAAGGTGGAACGGCAGAAGACTTAGGACCTACGGGAAAGCCTCTTTCAGTAGGACAGCACAAGTTACTCCCAATGTTCAGGCACCGGCAGAGGGGGTCATGAAGAGGAGAGCGCGTCCTGAGCTAGACAGCGGGGAACTGCCGGGACAGGCGAGTTCAGGATGTGTGCCTGACTCCAGCCCCAAGTCATCAGATTTGGGGTCAGTGACTGAACCAGATAGTGACTGTCCTGAGAACACAAAGACCCAAAGGAAGAAGAGAAGGAAAGGGAAAGGAAAAGTGGTCAGAAAAGGTAAAAGCTTTACGTCTGACCTGTCTACGACTGCGAGACATCAAAGACAGAGTAAATGTCCTAGGTTAAGTGTGTGTGACAAAGACTGGGAGGATCTAGACTGTGCCAAAGCCACAAGGTTTGTTCGGCGCTCAAAAATAAAAACACGGAACCAGGGTAGGAGGACGGTGCGATACCACGATGGGGAAGATGACAGAAGCATAGAGAACGCATTAGAGCTCAGTGACGGCACCTTATGACCTTGGGAGCCAGTGTTTTCAGACAGACTGACTGGAATGTACCGGGAAAGCTGGCTTACAATTCAGGGAATATATTTATATTTTTCTATGAAAAGTTGTGAATGTGACTAAATCATGACTGTTATTTTTATTTGCACTTGCTGGCTTTTGAAGCAGCATTCAGCACAGGTGCCAAAATACACTTCATTTTGGGGGCAGTTCTACTTTGGCAGTATTGACTACAAGAGTTGGAGACATGTTAGACACTAGGCGACTTGGTTCTCCAGACCAGTGAGCATTATTGTAGTAGCAGTGTCAGGCAGTTTTCTCAATTTGTCCAGAGGTGGTAGTTCCTAAACCCCTGCCATGTAGTAGGAGAAAAATCCATGTGACCTTTGTTTACAGAATCTTGATAAATATTATGTGCATACTGACATTAGGATCATGGCAAGTGTAACCATGATTAGTAGGCAAGGCACCTACCACTTTTTTTTTGTTGTTTTGTTTTTAAATCCTTTTTCCCTGGAGACTTGAGCAGAAAACATTATACCCATATGTGGTCATTTTATTGACATGGCTTCCACTTTTCTGTCCAAATGCTTGTCTTTTTTTTTTTTTTTTAAGGCAAACCTGATGACTTTCATGTTTATAAACTTGAATTATAAAGTTCTGGTAGATTACTTTATATGCTTAAAGGCCTAAGTTGAGAGCATAGTCCTAGTGTTTCCTTTTAGATTGTTTACTGACAAATTGTTACTTGGTTTTTGTCCAAGATCCACTTTCCACTAAGATTCACCAAATTCTTGCTCTTCCATAATCGATCTTACTCTGAAACAGAGAAGTTTGTGTGCCTTAGAGTTAGGGAAAATGTTCTTTAATAAAAGTAAGTGCACAGGGCTAATGGTATTTCGGTTCTATGTAGATTTCCCTCTGTTAAGACTGCAGTTGTAAATTTATCTATGTAGGAAAATAGTTGAGTGTCATTCTCCATCCTTGAGCTTACTGCTGCCACATGCATCCTAAGCATCCCTTGCTTGGGAGAACTAAGTGTATCTTCATTAGTGACCTCTCGTGTAAGAAACTTATGTTTGGGGCACAATGATTTTTTTGAAATTCATTTGAAGTGAAACGTCACAGCATCCCAGGTGCCATAGCACACTTATTTTTGAGCAAGGTTCTTTGCGGGGTTATTTTTGGTCTACTGTAGGTAGCTCTTCCCAGTGGGGTTTTCTTTGAAAAACTTCCCATGAGTGAAGGGAATGTTAGCTTCCACACTTTGGAGTGCTGTTTGACCTTAGTTGTTTGGTTTCATGCACAGGTCACTCTTTCCTGTTTTCCTGAGGTGGCAAACAAACAAAAACATCTAAAGTTCTCCGTGCCTCTGCTCTGTTTTCTTGTGGGTTTGACATGGTAGGCATCTCTCTTCTGTGTTCTCATTCAAGAGCTAGGTGGTTTTGGACATCTCCAGCTATGATTGGCAGGTGCCTGTTTCTCCAGGATAAGAGCCCTCTCCCATCAAAGGGGGGGAGCTAAGATACTTTCTGTGGCTCTTCAGAGACAGATGTGAGGGACTGACTGTGGCAGTTAGCTTTGACTGTTGACCCAAAGTAAGTTTGCTTCCTGTTGTGTCCCTCAGGGTTATACCTCCATGTTTACCATTCTCTGCATAAAGGCACCAGAACCCATGACTGCACGGGAAGTGCACAGAGCGGTTCCCACTGGGGACTAAATTTTAACTGGGTCTTGATTGTCTAGTCAAACCGTACTCTCTGCCACAACCCCTTTGGTCCAGTTGTATATAGGCAGTATTTTGGTTTTAACAGAGTAGGTGCCATCAGAGTAGAAGTGGACCTGGTGACCTTGGGCGTGATCCACAGTGGCTCTCAACCTCTGAAGTCAAGATGTGGGCTCCTGAGGAAGCATTTTTTTTCCCCTTCCTTCCTTTTTGGTTATGGTGCTGTTTCTGACATTAACTTTGAATATGTGACACACTCCTAAGTACTTAAGGATGATTAATCAATAATAGTTAAAATGTTTACATTGAGCACTAGGTGTTTGAAATGCGCAGGGATTTAATGCACAAATGTACTTTAATGTTTAGGATCAGTCTGTGTTTTTGAGAGTTATAAGGTGAATGTGAACTGGTCCAGAACTAAGTGCTCTAGCTTCTGTTGCACTTGAAGTATTTAGTAGTATATATGTAAAAATAGCCTTTTCCCACTCTAGTTTTATATGTCCAAAGTCCTGTGATTTTTATTCATTTATAATTTTTTAAGGAAGTTTGAAGTATTCAGGTTTGGTTTTTTTCCCCTTCTTCTCTCTTTTTTCTTTTGCTTTTGAGAGTGTAATATACCAAGCATATTAAGAAATTTAAAACCATTTCCCCCCTATATCTTATTTTAAAAAGGTGTACTGACAATGTGTAGTAATTTATGAATAAAAATGTATCCCATTTCCAGGTAATTCCTAGGGTGGTCATTGCTGTGTGCTTTTAAAGTGGAAAACTGCTGATCAAATAATGTTTGAAGTTAGTGCGATCTTGGAAATTGTGGTGCAGAAGTCATGGTGAGCTGCTTAAGTTACACCAGCAAGGTCTCTTCTGTAATGGAGTTGCACCTGGAGGGGAAGGTGGTTTTGAAAAGTAAAATGTTCTAAAAAGCACTTCAAGACCTGGAAGAAGAATGCAGCAGGTTTATTAACAGGGCTCTGTAGTACCTGCAGACTACAGTGCAGATGGGTCTACACAGTGCCAGCAGACGGCTACACTACAGACGGGTCCCTGCAGTACCAGCAGAGGACTTTCCTGTCTACAGTAAGATGCATTGATAAGCCTTTGGCCTCACTGATCGCTTTTAGGGTGATGGTGGGTTCACACTACACTTCCAACCTTCTGTGGTAGTCTTTGTCCTCAATCCCTGTACTGTATGATAAAAAAATTGAATTGGATCTTAGTTTCTTCTGCCAGTACAAGTTGAATTTGATTGTGTCAACTGAAAAAAAAGACTTCTGAGGTTTGTAAATCAGTAGAATGCAAAACATTAAAGATGCATGTGATTGTTTCTGTTTTCCTTTCCACTCCATTGTATTGATTGTCCCAGGAACATCCATAGGCTCCAAACAGTCTTTGCTGTCTCCTTTAATGGTTGAGGTAGCCAGCTCCATTCTTTCATCAATATGAAGTCAGTGTGTTTCTGATACCTTACACTTACTACCAAGTCCTTGAGTGAGTTTTTCTCACTGTGCAGAAATCAGTTATTCCTCTAGCGTGCGGGACCTCTAGTATGCAGGAGTGTGAAGGAGCCTTGTGGAGCCTTGCTCCTGCTGGTGACTTCAGAAGTTAGAGCCTCAGTTTGGGTTGTGGAGAGCAGGGAGTAGTAAGCAGAAACCCTAATGAGCACCATAATGGTTGAAGTCCTGTGTCTACCCAGTGTTTAATATGTGGACCAACCCAAATCTGTTAAAGCCAGGGAAGAATGGGGCTATCTGCACTCTTAACTAGGTTAGTGACTATAAATCCTAATAATGTCACCAACAGAAGGACAGAAGAGTACAGAGAATATATAATGTTGAGGCTCTGTTGTCTTTTCTCACATCTTAACATTTTGAAATTCTTAAAAGTGTCCCTAAGGACACCTGGGAATTCTCAAAATTGAAGAGATTGGGGGGGGAAAAAACCTTGTATAACACTGATAGGAAAACTGCCTCCTTGCCTGGTGTCTTCTGAAGGATTGCCTTCGTGAATTTGTTGGCCAGTCCCAAAGCCCGTACCCTACAAACGCACTGCTGCCGCTGGCATAGTGTGAATAAGTGTGGCGCGGCCCCGGAGTTGTAACTGTAAGTGGCCTTATTGCTGTGCCTGCACCACGTGTGTGCCCTGCCCACAGAGGCCAGAAGAGGGAGGGTTATCAGATCCCCCGGACTGCAGTGTGTGCTGGGAATGAATCTAGCCAGTGCTGTTACCTGCTGAGCCATCTCTCCAGCCCTTTATTTTTTTGAGACCCAGTTGTCTCAGCAGAGTATGTAGCCCTGACTGGCCTGGAAGTCACAGGAATTCATTTGCCTTTGCCTCCCAAGTGCTGGGATTAAAGGCTGAGCTAGCACAGCAATCTCTCAAAGCCCTTGAGCTGACAAAGAAGTGGGTAACTAACTGTCCTTTTTTAAAGGGCTCAGCTGTAGACTGAGTGCTCTCTGGAACCTCCTTCCCTTATTCACACAAGGTAGTTTAGACATTTGTGTTTTCAGTGTTTCAAAAGTGGAAAGTATCTTTAATTTCTAAGTATAAGTATATCCTTGGATTTTGTGCTATGGTTCATCTGCAGTGCTCTGAGAAGTTGTTACAGGGCCTGTTACATGCCTAAGGTTCCAGTGGGCAAAGTTTTAAAAGTTTTCCCCCACATATTAAACAAAACCCCTCAGGGAAGCAGAGGTGGTGGATCTCTTGAGTTTGAGGCCAGCCTGGTCTACAAAGTCCAGATCAGCCAAGGCCTCACAGAGAAACCCTGTCTTGAAAAAACCAAACCCCTATAGTACATAAACTAAGGGCCTTGCTCATGGAAGGCCAAAATTTTTAACAAGTTAAAATCAAGTGAGAAATGTGGCTGCCACACTTCCAGCGAGCTAAAGAGTCTTTAAATACTCAGGTGCTTCCCTTGCAGCTCACCCAGATTTCTTGTCAGTGGTTCTTACCCTGAAGACAGCTCTGGCCAGCAGCATTACTAGTGTGAACCTGGGAATTGAAGTGACTGGGAAACCTTGTGCTTGAAACAGCCTCTGATTTTACTCGTGCTGACAGTTTGAAATGCTGGGACACTTCTGGGAAAATAACTTTCATCTTACTGACGAGGCACAGCTGAATAGTGAGCTAGGCTAGAATGGGACTGCCCAGCTGTGTTGGTCGTTGCAGCCACGGAACTGTTGAGTGATTCATGCAGTAGTTACAGGCCATCCATCATCGCTTGTCCTGCAGAAGATGCCACTGCACTGAGGAAGCCTTCCTACAGACCAGGAGGCAGGAACCTAGTCCCAGGTCACTCTGCCAGGATGTAGAGAAATGGCAGCTCACGGAATGTTACTGGAAGCTCCTGTTTTGGAAGGATGAAAAGAATACTTCTGGGGCTGGAGAGATAGCTCAGGTTATGAGCATCTGTGTCTGCTCTTGAGAGGTCTTGAGTTCAATTCCCAGCAACCACAGGGTGGTTCCCAACCCTGTGAGATCTGGTGCCCTCTTCTGTTGTGCAGGCACAACACTGTACACAACACAAATCCTAAAACACTTCTGAGAGTTGGGGGCTTCACCGCTCAGTTTCAGTGAAGTGCAGACAGGAGAGCAGTCTCCAGCTGCAGGTTCTGATTAGGGATGCTGGGGAGGCAGAAGTTTGTGGCTGTAGGCTGCTCACTCCACCAGCCCCACAGCTAGCAACAGTACCATAACATATACACATGAATGCAGGAAACAGCCGTTTTGGGTTGGACATTGACCAGATTAACATTTTCAAATGCTTCCACAGTAATGACTTTGGATTTAGGAAGTCAGTACATTTGGAATATGAATAAGCCTTGAAACATGGAGAAGAGGGAGTAATCTTTTGAGCCAGTACAGGCCTGTCCAAATCCAGTTTCTCTTTACTACAGACCATTTTATAGACTTCGGGCTACCACTCTAGTGAACCTGAGACTGCCTCAAGTGCTCTGAGGTGCACATTGGCAGCTTGTCACATTTGATTCGTAACTCCACAGCACCTTTCTTTAAACATTTATTATTCGTGTGTCAACAATGTGTGCGTGCACGGGGCATGATGTGGAGCTCATAGGATGGAGCATGGTCACTGTCCACCTTTGCATGGCCTGCACGGATGTCCCTCTAGCCTTCTGCAACAAGCCTTTGCCCACAAGGCCGTCTCGCCAGCCTGTTTTCTCTTGTCACGGTGCTCTCAGCAGTGTGGTCAGCACCAACACCTGAATTCACCCTTCCCCTTGTTCACCTCTGTTGACCGAGGGACTTTTATCTGGGGTTCCTGTAGATGGAATTCTGAACTTTCCCCTATGTATGGTATAAGTATTTGAAGTTCAAATCTACTTTAAAGGTCATTATTTAAAGTTTCCTCCTGAAGTTTATTAGCTTTTCCCCTTTCTTGATTGGAAATAAACACTAACAAAGTGTTTGTATTTTCCAGGTTCTTCCATCATACTTTAAATAACTACTGAAACAAAGTCATTTTCTTGTGAAGAGTTTTAGTTGTGATGGGTTTTTATCTAATACACAGTACTGGGAATGAACCAGCTGAGTTAATTTTCTTAGTATGCAAATGGATGTATTTATTTGGCAGATACTAGTAAAATCTTAATAGAGTGTGTGTTCCCCTTAATTTTGGTCTACTTTAAAAGTGCACTTTATAGCACGTTTATATCTGAGCATTTGCTCAACACAGATGTAATGTCCTTTGTGCATTCGGTATTAGTTGTTAGAGACACCAGCTTCTAACTTTCAATATCTAAGAAAGTCCTCTGAAGGTAAATAATCAAGACACTCCCTTCTCACAAAGTCCAGTTAAAGAGCATGCTCCTGGGGTTGTGTCAGCAGCCTGCTGAAAACCCTCGTATGTGAGGAAGTTTGGAGTTGCTGTGGCAAGTCTCCTGGAAGAGCTGGTGGATGTCTACTCTCCCCCATTCTCGCCCGACCGCAGCAGTCTGTGGGTGTGTATTCTGTAGCTAGGCACTCCACCGGAACGTTCTGTGCACCATGCACGCATGGTGCCTGTGGAGGCCAGAAAGCCACAGACTGAGCCGCCAGCTGGGTGTTGAGAACAGGCAGGCTGCTGGGAGAAAAGCTGTTGCTCCTAGCTGTGAGCCATCTTTCCAGCCCCAGAATGTAAAACTACCTCACCACCCTCCAGTTTGTGTGTAGCCCTGGATGTCATGGAACTTTGTAGACCACAGTGGCCTAGAGCTCAGAGATCTGCCTGCCTCTACCTCCTAAGTGCTGGGATTAAAAGTGTGCACCACCAGGCCTGGCACAAAACTTATTTATAGATGACACGGGGAAGCAGCAAAACCAAGTTTGCTTTATAGTAGCTGACCAAAAGGCTGAATTCTCCTGGGACTCAATAACAAAGACAATCATTGTTAAGACCACTAGATGCCTGTGTGTTACTTTAGGGTTTTACAGCCTGTGTATCAACACTGCCATCACATTCAAATTTTACTTTTCATGACTAAGACTAGTTATAAGAAATGCCCAAACTCCAGCTGATAGCAGATACTTCAGAGAAGTGCCATAGTACTTGAAATCTGAAGTGTCTTTGACTTTGAGACTTCTGCAAAAATAAAAGACTTAAGCTCTCCTGTCAGAGAACCTCTGCTCTCCAGCCATCCTTAAACTGCCCAGGTCTGTGAAAGGGAGTCTGCCATTTCAGTGGGCTTTCTGCCTAACTCGGGTTCAGAGAACTCTTCACACAAAACCATGCACTTCTCTAAAGGAATCCTTCCTTAAGCCCACGGAGTAGGTCCTACTGCATGTGATTTGCTAAGGGCCATACACACATTGGCAGAAGGGTGCTTCTGTGTCTGCCATAAACTAGTTCACAGGTTTGAGGTTCAGTTTTCCTAGTTGTGTCACGTGTTTTCTAAGATTGGACAGAAACTAAGGCCATAGAAAACTTTGTAGAGTCAGTGCAGTTGGCTTTTGTTACCAACTAAGCACTCTCAATACTTGAATAAAGGAAACACTGGGCTTGGAAGTATAACCTGAGGCTTCTTTCCGGGGGTCCAGGGAAGTTACTTCAGAGGTGCTATTAAATATCTCAAAAAACAGTTTAGAGGATTAGAAATAACTCACAGGGAGCACAGTTCTCTCTCCTCCTTTCCTCCCCCACCTTTCCTTTCCTCTCTGGAGAAGATGGGGTTTCTCTGTGTGTAGCACTGGCTATCCTGGAAGTCTGTAGACCAGGCTGGCCTCAAACTCACAGAGATCCACCTGTGTCTGTCTCTCCAGTGCTGGGATTAAAGGTGTGTGCTGCAGTCACCCAGCTGTCTCTCCAAATCGAGACATCTGAAAGCCCTTCTTAGAAGCTCTACGAGGCTAAGGGCATTCGCCTCACTCTTGCCAGCCGTTACTGCGGCGGCCCTGACAGGGCTGCAAATGGAAGTCATACACTTGCCAGGCCAGCTTTTAGATGTCCTCATGGCTAAGATCTGCTCAGGGCTGTTGCTGAGGAATGTGTGTCGTACAGTCTTGTACAGGCTTTTGTATTTACATGAATTTCCACTCGCTTTTCAGAATCTGTTCGTAAAGACAGAGAACCCAATACACAAATGAGGCCATGCATGCATGAGGATGCAGTGCAGATGCACAGTGACCCTCTCAAAGTCCCCCGCAGAGGTGCTGCTGTTGCTGCAAATAAAATAAAGATAATGAGTAATCTAAAAGAAATGGCCTCAGTACCCGACAATGTCCGGATTAGGAGGAACAGCAGAAAACTGCCCCATCGACACGCTTCTGCCGCAGCTAAGAAAAAGTTACGAGCGGTGATCTAGAGGATGGTGCACACACACACTCAAGAGAATGAAAAGGAGCTAGAAGAGAGTAGCAAAGTGCTTTCTCTTAGGCGGTTCAGATCCTGGAAAGAAAAACCCAGCCATGACTGAGGCAGAAAGGGTACCTGGAATGTCAGCACTTCAGTGCTGCAGCTGCAGTCCACTCCCAGCCCTAAGCCATCCCGGACCTTCTGAATACTTTTCTAAAGTCACTACTGTGGGTCAAGCGGGCGTCCTCCACTGCTCCAGTCAGTCCTCCACAGCACAGCACAGGGAGCTCCACGACGTGGTAGAAGCGGATTATGTAGTCAGGGGAGAAGGCAGAAGGGCCCACTTTCTGTAAAGCAAAGGCTTGACAGCGTGGCTCTTTAGAGAAGACAGGAAGTGTACGGGATCCGTGGGGAAACTGGTAAGCTGTCCACATTTGACCTGGATGCTAATTTTAATGGTTTACCCTCACAGTCTGAAACTCGGCCACTTCCAAAGGACATGCCAGTAAGCCAACTGAATTTTAACTGGGTCTAATTTCTGTAATGCACAAAAAGAACTGGGGCCATCAATGCTGGGATGTTACTGGCTTTTTAAGAGGACTGTTGGAAAAACAATGTCTTCCTTATAGCACTGGAACTCATACTGAGTGCTAATCACCTGGTATGATCAATTCAGGGAATATAGTTTTCTAAGAAAGCTCTGAATGTGATGCTTGTACATTTTCCCCCCAATGTAGCAGCAAAAATGAAGAGGCCTGACTTGTAACAAGTCAGAAAATAGAATAAGAGCTAGTCATCTCTTTAGGGAATGCAGTTAAATCCTATTTCTTACGTTTCTCTACTGCACCTTAAAAGTTAGAAATTTGAGCACTGCAAGCTCATTCCAGTCTGACCAACAAGGCAGTGTCAGGAGTCTGGCCTCCATTGTGGCTTCTGCCAGTGTTACGCCTCTGGTCACTGTGGTACAAATGCTCTGCCTTCAGAGAGTGAGTTTGTTGTTCATGGCTATTTGTTGACATTAAGGTCACCAGAAGTGAGCTGTGAATGTGCTGTAACATGTCTGTAATGTCTGTAACATGTCATTGAAGAAACGTGTCAATGGTTTGTTTTTCCAATTAAAAACGCTGTAACTATTAGACATAATTTGCATGTGTGTAAATCAAAAAAAAAAAAAAAAAAAAAAAAAAGGGAACCCGTGTACTTTTTCATTAGCAGTAATTCACATTTCCCACTTACATGTATGGCCAAAGTGGCTAGAGTACTTGAGAAACCTGTTTGTGGTTAAATGCCTGCTTAAAAACAAAGACACGAGTCAGAATGTTCTAACCTACAGTGTGTGTCCTCTGTTCTTTTTTGTACCTTAACTTGAGATGGATAATCTTCAGTGTCTTGCTACTAGCGCAGCCAAGAAACAGAAGAATTCCTAGTGAACTATTAGGTGCATGGGGTTTTTGCTTCTTGAGCTTTAATGAAATGCTTAAATGTTCATTCCCAAATGTCATAGACATTACTTACTGGACAATTATATCCTCAAGAAATGCCATAGGCAATTGCCATAGGCAACACCCCCTATCTCCTCACAAGTCAATCCAGAGTGTGTTTTCGCTAAGGAACCAGTTCCTTGTCCCCTCTTGGTTATCTGCTTCTCTTGTGCGAGCAGCATGAGGTGGAGCTCCGTCTTCCAGCACCCAAACTAAACCAGAAAATACTGTATACGAGTGACAAATGGCCAAGCTTTAAAAACGCCTTGCCTTGCCTTGCCTTCTGTCTGGATCCGCTTGGCAGTCATCAGACGCCATCTGTGTTTCCTCCAGCGGGTGGGTCCCGCCACGCGTGCCGGGGTGGGCGGGGTGGAGCGGAGCGCACCGGAGGGCGGCCAGGCCCGCCGGGCGGGAAGGCTGACTCGCCAGCCGCCCCTCTACTCCAGGCCGCGGTCCTCCTCAGGCCCAGGCTGTCTCCGACCGGACGTCCGGCGGCGGACCGGAAGCTTGCGGGCCTCCGCCGCGGAGGACCTAGGGCGGGGCCTTGCTCGGAACCGAGATGGGGGCGTGGCCAGGAGGGCGAGACGGCCCGCGAAGAGGTTCCGGGGCGCGGCCGGAGCGGGTGCGCAGGCGCCGTCCGGCGGCGCGGCGCCGAGGGGCCATGGCGGCCACGTTCTTCGGCGAGGTGGTGAAAGCTCCGTGCAGGGCTGGGACGGAGGAGGAGGAAGAGGAGGAGGAGCAGAGCAGGCGAGACACGCCGGAGGACCGGGAGGTGCGGCGGCAGCTGGCGCGGAAGAGGTCAGGCTCCGGGGAGGCCTCCCCGCCGGGCGCGCGGCGCGGCGTCGGGGAGCCTGCGAGCGCTCTGCGTTCACGCCGCGGCCCCGACTCCCTCGCGAAGTCCCGGGGAAGCTTGGCCTCCACCCTCGACTTCTGTGTCATGTGTCAGCGGCAAGCTGTGTCCTTCCAAACTGCTCCTCACACAGACATGAGCCCCGCCGGCCCTCGGCCAGGGTTTTGCCGCTCTCTTCCCCCGGGAGTCCCCAGGCACGCCACACCTTCCCGAGCATGCCGTCTTGACGCGTGTTCGTCTGGTTTGTGTTGATGGTGTGGGTCAGGTGGAGGTTGGGTGCCCCCTGGCTTTTCCGCCTCCTTTTGGAGGAGTCGGTCCTCGAACCCAGCTCTCACGTTTCCGCCCCCCTGGCTGGCCCCCGACCGTCGGGATTCTCTGGTTTCCCAGTCGCCGGGTCTGGGCTCAGGACCTGTGTCGTCATGCTTAGCAGCTTAGCACCTTCTCTGCCCTAAGTGTCCTAGTAAGTGTTCAGCATTCTGGTCCACAGTCAAAGGCACCTAGATTTTTTTCAGATACGGTATTTTTCGGTGGTTTGTGTCAACTACCAACACTTTCGGCAGCTCATTTTGTTTATGGCAGCCCCCTCTCGTTTTCTCACTCTTCCTGAGAGCCCTGATTTGACCGATGGTGTCCTGCAGTCATTAATGTCTATGCTCCTTGCCTACTTTGCCACAACTAAATGTTTGAGCATTGTTTGGAGTCTTGGTCACATTCAGCATTTTGCTGGCAGGAGTGTTTGAAGTGCCTTTAGTCTGTTCTTGCACTCTGTCCGGATCGCAGGGGTGCTGGGATGTGTCTGTCGGGTCAGTATGAAACTTGTTAGCAGTCGTTTCAGGCGCTGGTTGGATCTGGCATTGAGCAGTCATTGCTTGAGTCTGCTGTATTTTAAGAAGAGAGAGCGCGCATTTTACCCATTCATAAGAGCACTGAGGACACTGACTCCTCTCTAATACCACCTGTTCAACAGTTATCCATATCTTGTACCACCCACCTGTTTATTCATCCATTCCTGTATGTATGTATATGTAGCATCTGCCTGTTATCTGTCCATAGCGATAACATGTCTACCATCCATCTTGTCTGGCTGGCCTCCATCTCTTTGTACATCCATCTCTGTATAGCATCAACCTGTCACCCTTCTCTTACAGTGTGATAGTAGTTGTAGTGACATTTGTTTACTTTTGTCTCTTGCTGTTAGGGAGGTTCGGCTTCTCCAAAGACAGACAAAAGCATCTCTTGAGGTTGCACTGCTAGAAAAACATCCTTGCTCCAAGTTTATAATTGCTGTAGGAAATAATGCAGCAGGTAAGTGCCTCGCCAAGACTACACACCCCATTGCAAGAGAGGACCTGGAGATCATTTGTTTCCACAGAAGGTCACAGCAGGCCATGGGCTTGTGGCTCAGGTTATGGACAAGACCTTGGGTTTGATTCCCGGTACCACGTGACCCTGGGCATGGTGTGATCCCAGCACTCAGGAGGCAGAGGCAGTAGGCAGGAACGTGAAGAAGTTCAAGGCCAAGCTGGTTTTCATGAAGCTCTGTCTTAAAAAGTCACAGTAGATTTAGTTCAAGTAAGGGAGATGCCTGCTCTTTCCATCTTTGTAATAAACATTAAAAAAAAAATGAGATTTGAAGGAAATGTTCTCAGCTTCAGAGTTACAGTGCAAGGCCCTATTTTCCAGTCTGTTGTGATGTCCATGAATCTAGCAATAATTGCAAGTATTTTTAAATGCTTCAGTTCTAAGGTCTTTGCGTGCGTTTGTTGATCTGGGAAGTTTAAGGCAGAACATGTGAGTTTAGTTGGAACAGTGTGTGTGTCTACATGTGGAGACCTTTGTGATTTCAACGGGTTTATGGACTCTGGTTAAGAGCCCTTGCCCTGTAAGTTTGCTCTGCTTAGAGAGTGTGTAAGCAGTAAGTAGCTTTCGCCTGTTATGTGAAGGTCTGCTGGGTAATTGCTTTAGAAGAGTGTTACATTGTGACCCTGTGCAAGATCTGTGGGCAAGTCTGTCTTTCCAGTTCTGCTTATGATACTGTGTAGAACTGCACTCCTCAGTCTCAAATTTTCTATGCTTCAAAGTAGTCCAATTATATGGTCTTTAAATTTTTTTTTTAATATATTTTTAAAAAGAAATTTAAGCCAGGTACGGTAGGACATGCCTGTAATCCCAGCACTTGGGAGGCAGAGGCAGATGAATCTCTGTGAGTTCAAGGCCAGCCTGGTCTACAGAGTTGAGTTCCAGGATAGTCAGGGCTACACAGAGAAACCCTGTCTTGAAAAACAAAAACAACAAAATTTGATTATGTGTAGATATATATGTGTGGGTTTGCTCAGGAATATAGATGTCTGAGACCTGGAACTCCAGACAGTTGTGAGTCACCAGGGCTGGGTGCTGGGACCCACACTCTGAGACACGAGAGCAGTCCTCAGTCTGAAATGCTGGACCGTCTCTGCAGCCCCCGAGTGGATGTCTGGAGTGACTGTTTTAGCTCTAAGTTCAGGGTGACTGAGTTTACTTTTGAGTATGAAGTACAGTTTGCATAGACAGACACTGATTTATGTTAACCTTTTTTTTTTTTTTTTTTCCTGCAGCGTTTTTGTCATCATTTGTTATGAATTCAGGCGTCTGGGAAGAAGTTGGTTGTGCTAAGCTCTGGAATGAATGGTGCAGAACTACAGACACTGTCCATCTGTCCCCTGCAGATGCTTTCTGTGTGTTTTATCAGCTGAAATCAGATCCCTCGGTATGTGGGACTTGACTTTATATTCTTGAGACACAGTAATTTAGGCATGAGCCCTAGATGGTAAACATTGCAGGCTCTCATAGGCAGGGTTCTCCTTTGCTGCTCAGTGTATTCTTTGTCTTGATATTTATTTCTGATGGTCTAAGTTTTAGGCCTAACTTAAATGTTAGAGTCAGCAAAATGAGGAAGCTGCTGTGTTACCGTGTATTGCTGTAGCAGATGCCCGAGACAGTCAGCTTACAGAGAGAGAAGGTTGGCTTTCAGCCTGCAAATTCTCAAGTTCCAGTGCATGCCCTGGGCAGACCCTTTGCTTGTAGGGCTGCGGGGCTCGGGAGAGGGGAGCTGTGGGCGGGACTGCTGGGCAGCATGGCTGAATACAGGGCCAGGGCGCAAAGAGAGGACGAGGAGGAGGTGAGTGCCACATTTGATTATGTGTATAGGTATATGTGTGGGTTTGCTCTTTCAAGAACACAGTGCCTATAACCTGGAGGCTCTTGGTGCCTGGAGTGAGCACATGGGCCTTTGGGGTTGTGGCTGCCTAGAGCAATGCCAGTCACTGGTATCTACATGCGTTTATGTGATGTCAGGCCAGTGTCCCTGCACTTGGCTTGAGAACTCTGAAATTCCTCTTGCAGGTCTTTCTCTGTCAGTGTAGTTGCTACATTGCTGAGGACCAGCAGTTCCAGTGGCTGGAGAAGGTAAGCTGGAGAAAGCCTGACTCGCCATGCGGCTGTGTGTGCTGTGTTTAGGGGACTGGGGTCTTGTCACTGATTTGCAGTCAGATGTTAGACAGGGATAGTTTGCTTCCTTAAGAAAACATTGTAGGAGCATGTTACAGAGTATTAAAAAAGAATGTCTGTAGCCAGGTGATGGTGGCGCACGCCTTTAAGCCCAGCTCTCAGAAGGCAGAGTCAGGTGGATCTCTTGTGAGTTGGAGGCCAGCCTGGTGTATAGAGTGAGTTCCAGGAGAGCCAGGGCTGCACAGAGAAACCCCGTCTTCAAAAACAAAACCAGCCAACCAAACAAACCAGAGTTGTTGAAAATGAGCAGCAGGGTGCTGGCCATCGTGCCCAGGCTGCACAGTGGTGAGGGCACAGGCATGTGGCACAAATGGGGAGCAGCAGGCGGCTTCTGAGGGCCGTTCACTGCCAGATTCCAGGGCCACGCGTTCTCAGCTGTCGGTGTGCTTACAAGTCCGTATTTTGAAAAGTGAACTCCAGGACCTTAGAAAAACGACGATTTGGTCAGGTGCCATTACGTATTGAATATGCTTTCTCCACAATGTTCCAGACTAGAAATGTGATAGTTCATATTTTTAAAAAAGTTGTGGAATATTTGCGTATGCAGAGTGACATGTCTCAGGGGTAAGACTCAAGTTTAAACACAAGCTCATGCTTTATATATAGCTTGAACAAATTTCCTAACAGTTTGAATTTGTGAAGTCAAGTCCCATGGTATGAGATTGCCGCCTGGGCGCGAAGGCTTTGGAGCTGGGTTGTGAATGCCCACTGTGCGCGCACTTCAGCGCACGTGCCCTGCTGCACTGCTGCTGTGCGCTTCTAGCAGCAGAGATGCAGGCTCAGTGCAGACAGTGCAGCAGCAGGCCGGCCGCCGGCGCGCCCACCGCAGCCTTCAGCAGCCTCCTGCCTGTGACAGACGCTAAAATGAAACGGGCTGGAAATGAGAGTTTTGCTGTGCACCTGTTTTAAAGCAGTTAGCCTTAAAAACGAACTGTGTGGAATGATCAGCGTGCCACACAGAAGGGATGAGTGGTGGGCATGTAGGTGATGCCTGTCTTTGCTTATGTGCACTGAGGCCCCATGGCGTATGTTTGGGGGGAGGGAAAAGTGTCTCGTTTCAATTTTAATCTTGTTGTTTTGTTTTCACGAGACAAGGTTTCTCTGTGTAGCTCTGGCAGTCCTGGAATCAGTATACACCAGGCTGGCCTTGAACTCAAGAGATCCACCTGCCTCTGTCTCCTGAGCGCTGGGACCATAGGTGTGCGCCATCGCGCCTGGCTTAACTTTACTTTTAAATTATGCAGGGTGGGGCTGGAGGGATGACTTAGAGGTCAAGCGCACTGGCTGCTCTTCCAGAGGTCCTGAGTTCAATTCCCAGCAACCACATGGCAGCTCACAGCCATCCATAATGAGATCTGGTGTCCTTTTCTGTCATGCGGGTGTACACACATAAATAAATCTTAAAGAAAATTCTGTAAAAATTATATAGAATGATAGTTATATTAAAATATTGCCCTTATACTATAGAAAAAAAGAGTACATTTGAGACTTGAAGAGATAGAAAAGGGCATTTTTAAATAAAAATAATTTATGTGCATGAGTGTTTTACCTGCATATATTATATACACGTACGTATATATATTAATATATATACACCATGTATATGCCTGGTGCCCGTTATGGTCAGAAGAGGGCATCGGATCCCCTTGAACTGTAGTCCTTGGTAGTTGTGAGCTGCCATCTAGGTCCTGGGGACCAAACCCAGGTCTTCTGCAAGAGCAACAAGTGTTCTGAGCCTCTTAGCTATCTCTCCAGTACTCAGATTATACATTCTTAAAGCAAAATATTTCTTTTTATATTTTAATTTAATTTTATTTTATTTGAGCTTTTTTGAGATTCTTGCTCAGCAGCTCAGGTTGACCTTGAACCTAAAATTCTTGTGCTTCACCCTCTTCAGTGCTGAGATTATAGGCATTTGCTACCATGTAAGGGTTAAAGCAGAGGGTTGTTTTGTTTTGTTTTGTTTTCCTGAGACAGGGCTTCTCTGTATAGCCCTGGCTGTCCTGGAACTTGTTTTGTGGACCAGGCTGGCCTCGAACTCATGCTGTCACTGCCTGGCTAAAGCAGAGCTTTTTAATCAACACTGTTCTCCTTAGGCATATTTTTTGAGAACCCCTGCAGTGTTAGTGACAGCCAAATCCTCATAGTGACACACAGCCTGACAGTCATCAGGTACTATGGGTTCAGACTGGATTACTACAGGAGGAAGTGAAATTGCGCTGTGAGTTTTCTTAAATGGATGTACCCAGTGACTAGCTCGCAAGCGCTAACCTTTTTTTTAGTATTTATTTACAGGCTCTGCCACAGTGAAATTAATCGTGTAAATCATTTATGGTACCTGTTACAAAGCTTTTGGTTTTCCTATTGTTGGCACAAGCCATTTTCTTTCCTTTTCTTTTTGAGGCAGGGTTTCTCTGTGTACCCTTGACTGCCCTGGACTCACTTCGTAGATCAGGCTGGCCTTGAACTCAGAGATCTGCCTGCCTCTGTCTCTCTGAGAGCTGGGATTGCAGGTGTGCACCACCATGCCCAGCCTAGCCATATTCTTATTTCATAAAATATTTCAAACAAGTTAGACACGGTGGCACACACTCGTATTCATCACTTTTGCTGTTATGAAAAAATACATCAACAAAACGAAGAGGAAAAAGTTGTTTAATTTTGGCTTATACTTCCAGAGGGACAGAGTCTGTTCTGATGGAGAATTCATGGCAGCAGACAGGGATGGCTCAGAGGTTAAGAGCACTCACTGGCTGCTCTTTTAGGGATTCTAAGTTCAATTCCCAGCACCCCACATGGTGGCTCACAACATCTGTAATGAGATCTGGCACCCTCTTCTGACATGCAGGTGTACAGACAGAGAGCACACTCATGCATAAAGTACGTAAATAGATAAATCTCAAAAAAAAAAAAAAAGAAAGCCAGGCAACTGCTCTTATTCCTACTTAAGCACTTGGCAGCCAGAGGCAGGCTGATCTCTGTGACTTCAAGGCTAGCCTGGTCTACAAAGCCAGTTCCAGAAAAGCCAGGGCTGTTAAGAGAAATTCTGTCTTGAAAAAACAAAAAAGGTTTTTTTTAAATTGTTGTTTTCACTGTTTTTTGGTTTGCTTTTTTTTTTTTTTTTTGGCCATGAATTTAAGTAAAAGATATAAGGAGCCTTGCTGACCTGTCAGAGTCACACTTTGCAGTTGGACTTTGAGATTCAGAGTGATTAAGACTTAGCTCCTGTTGTGGTAACGCTGACATTGAGCTCTGTAGGCTGATTCGCGGGTAGCAGGGGAGAAGGTGTTGAGTGTGCTCTGTGACGTAGGGTGGCAGTCATGGCCACTGTTGTTCTTTGGGCCCGTGGTCCATGCTGTTGTAATCACGTGGATGCTGGGCACTGCCATCCTCCGTTCAGAGACAAGACAGTGACTTGGAATATTGAGTAGCTAGCCCTCAGAGCCATGGTCGCGGGCTTCTCAAGCCCGCCTGCAGCGTGAAGTGTCGCTGCCCGTTGGGCTGAGTCACCAGAGCAGCGTTCCTGGTGAGGGAAAGGAAGTTTAACGTAGAATCCGTGTTCTCTTAGGTTTTTGGCTCCCGACCCAGGAAGAAGATGCAGGTAACGGTTCTCACGTGCCGCCATGTCACAGAGTATAAGACCTCTGCGTCTACCAGCAGCCTTCCTTCTCCGTTCCTCAGAGCCCTAAAAACCCAGAAGTTCAGAGATCCTGTGTGTTGCCCGCTGCTGGAGCAGCCGAACATCGTGCATGACCTGCCTGCAGCAGGTGAGCCGTGCGCTGGGACCTGCCCCAGGCTGTAGATGACTGTTGCTAGGGCGGGCCTCTGAAGTGGGCTCTCAGTGACCCCGGCACAGCTCAGGGCTGTCGGCTCTCTGTCTGTGTGCGTGTGAGGGAGCTCAGGTTCACTTCCGAGTCCCGGACTGCAGCTTCGACAGCAGCTGAGGTTCTCCGTTCCGAGTCCACAGTGTCAGTGGAGCCCAGTGTTATATGTGGGTTGCTGGGATGTGACCCTTGGCAATGTTAATTATCAAAGTAGAAAGTTTGGAATATCGAAGCTTGGTTGTTACTCTTGAAATTTTTATCGTACCTTTTCTGTTGTTTTTTTTTTAAAGATTTATTTATTTTATTATATATACAATGTTCTGCCTGCATGTGTGCCTGAATGCCAGAAGAGGGCACCAGATCTCATTATAGATGGTTGTGAGCCACCATGCCGTTGCTGGGAATTAAACTCAGGACCTCTGGAAAAGCAAACAGTGCTCTTAACCTCTGAGCCATCTCTCCAGCCCTACCTCTTACTTCTGTTGTGACACTGTCGTTACCCAGCAGAAGTGGCTTATGGGATGAAGGGTTCTTCTGCTTACAGCTGAAGGGGACACGTTCCATCATGGTGGGGAAAGCTGGCAGCAGGGGCTGAGCTGCTGGCCGCATTGCTTCGCTGTCAGGAAGGGGAGTAAGGTGAAGGCTCGTGCTCTGTGCCCTCTCCTTTCTACAGTGGGCCTGCACACCTCAGTCAGCCTCATCTGGGTAGCGCTCAGACGTGTCAGGGTCTTGTTTCCTGCGCAGTTCTAGGCCCTGTCAGGTTGACACGGAAGATCATCACACTGCCTTTGACACCCATTATGCCAGGAGAGATTGTTTGTTTTCAGTGCTTAGTGTTCCACGGTGTCTACTTGTTTTTTGTTAAATGAATTTGAAGCATAATGCTTTGCTTTTTGAGTTACAGTTACTTGTGGAAGGAAAGTAGTGTTAGTTCACAGTTTTCATTATAGAGTACTCTTTGCATGTGCCTCCTTAAAAAGGACAATGTTGTAATACTTCAGTTCTTAAAATTATGACAGGATGGCCAGAAAATGCAAAAGCTAATATTTATAAAACCTTAGGAAGAGTTGGTTTTGAAAGATTAGGGCAGCATGGCAGTAGGGGCCTTGATGAAAAGAGGCCAAAAGCCGACTTAAAACAGCTTTTATTTAAAAGTGTAATTTAAAAGTCATGTCACACTGCTGGGTGTGCTGGCACACACCTTTAATCCCAGCACTTGGGAGGCAGAGGCAGGCAGATCTCTGGGAATTTGAGGCCAGCCTGGTTTACAGAGCAGGTTCCAGGACAGCCAGGGCAACACAGAGAAACCCTGTCTCAAAAAACAAAGAAACAATCCAAAACAGTTAAAAAACAGTTAGAAAACAAGCATTGTTTTTCCTTTGTGTGTTGCAGTTCTGAGCTACTGTCAAGTGTGGAAAGTCCCCGCGGTCCTGTATCTGTGCTACACTGATGTGATGAAGCTGGACCTGGTCACGGTTGAAGCCTTTAAGCCTGTGCTTTCTTCCTGTATGTTGGAATGCTTGGTGAAGGTAAGCAGCGAGATTGCTGCAGTGACCGAAAGATGGCCGTGCTGCAGGCCAGCATCTGCCTAGGTGGCACACACGGGGCTCTTGACACCGCTGCCCCATGGTTTCTGTGCTGCGGCAGCTGTGTGCTCCTGAGTGTGGGTTCGTGGACTGCTCTGACACTCGAGTGTCCCTGTGGGTAGATGTCATTGCTTGAGAGCTTCCTGCAGCCCGTTAGCTCGGAAGTTGGTAGTTTATCTTTTAAAGATTGATTTGTTATTTTGTTTGTGTGTGTGCCTGTGAGCGCCTATGTGCACCACAGGCGTGCAGTGCCTGTTGGCTCCTTGGGAACTGCAGTCACAGATGCTGTGAGCCCAGCTGTGGCTGGGAATGAAGCAGGTCCTCTCCTGGGAGGGAGGGCTCAGCTGCTGGCCCTCTCTCCCCCTGAGGCACTTCAGGTTTAGCTTCTCTGTTGGGGGGCTTGCGTGGCTACCCCGCCATGTCCCTCAGGCAGGAGGCACTGTGTGTCTCACGATGGAGGTGTTCTCAGGAACACCAGGACTTGGCGGATCAGGCTGGAATAAACTTAGCTGAAGTCACCTCTCAACGGTCCCGCTTTGCCCTCAGGGTGGTGGCTTGTGGCAGGTGAGATGGTGCTCTGGAGAGTGTTTTCATACGTCTGAGGTAGCCTTCCTCCACGCTGCGCAGGCCAGCCTCTCCCAAGTGTTGGTATTAGAGTGCCTGCCACCATGACCTGCTGAGTACTGTTCTCTTTTAACAAAAAATGAGCTCAGTGTGTGGAGGGGCACAGGGTGTGGGGATGAGGTATAGGTCAGCGGTGTGTGTGTGTGGGTTGAGGTGTAGCTCATCAGTGTGTGGGGGGGGGATGGGTGTGTGTGGGGGGGGAGGTACAGATCAGCGGTCAGTGTCTTCCTCTTCTTTACCTTGTTCTCTGAAACCCGGAGCTTGTGGGTTTGGCCAGGCTGTGAGGCCCAGCGTCCTCAGCACTGGGATTTCTGGTGCTTGAGAGTATGCTGGCTTGTACACAGGCTCTGAGACCTCACCTCAGCCTCGTGTCCTCAGGACACTTGGACTGAGCAGTCCATTGCCTCAGTGCCACACCTTCAAGACTGAGCACAGCGGACCTGAGCTGGTACTCGGTTTGTGGTTGTGGGTAAGGGACATCTTGGGACCTTGCTGTGGCCTCCCCTGGCAGCTCCACAGACAGGAGGGGCATGGCTCGAGGGCAGCTCACTTGGAGGGAGCAAGCAGTCAACCCAGGAAAGACGCCTGAGAAAGTGTGACTTCAGAAGATGGGGTGTTAGTGGGGAGGAGTGGGCAGTAGGTAAGGAGAACATAAGCCACTGTGTTAGGGTGGTAGCGTGGTGTGAGAGATGTGTGCTGATGGTGTGTGTGTGTGTGTGTGTTAAGGGCATGTGTTATAGTTTGGTTCTGGCTGCTGTGATGAAATACTCTGACAAAGAGCAGCTTTGGGAAGAAAGGATTTACTTAGCCTCTGCTTCTGGGCCACCCCTCCCTGAGGGGGTTAGAGCAGGCCCAGAGGCCAGGGCTGGAGGGTGGGCACCTCTCACAGGCTTCTTTATGCAGCCCGGGTGCACGAGCCCCGAAGGGGTGCTACCCACAGTGGGCTGCGCCCTGCTGCATCAGTTCTCAGTCAGGACAGCCCCTCAGACAGGCCCACAGTCCTGGGCAGGCCTGCAGCTGAAACTTCCTTCTCAGCTGACTGAGGTGTGTCAAGCTGGCCAGGCCAGTGACCGTCTCCTTTTCACTAGACGAGGTGAAGGGCAGGGTGTGCCTGCTGCCAGGCTCCTGTGTGTCAGTGTCGGGACAGGAGCGTGTTCAGTGACTCCTTCTTTCTTCCTAGAACATCCCTGAAAGCCGAGAAATACTGAAGAAATTGATGACCACAAATGAGATTCAAAGCAACATTTACACGTGACCCCAGCGGTGGGGAGCCATGGCCACGGCCTCCTGTTTCAAGGGGCAGTCACTGTTTGTACTTTATTCTGGGTTGTGGGTATTGTGAGGGTGATAAACAATAAAAGTGTAAAAATTATTAGAACTTTGTTTTGTTAATGATGGTATGTCTACAGCTGAAATACTAATGAGCCAGTCATTTTTTTGTCACCTGTGAGATGGGCTACTTTTTGGTCATTTCCTTTTAAAAATATTTTTAAACATATGAGTATCTCAACTGTGTGTATGTCTGTGGACTGTGTGTGCAGTGTCCACAGAGGCCAGAATAGAGTGTCAGATACCCTGGAGTTACGGGTAGTTGTGAGCCACTGTATGGGTGCTGGGAACTGAACTCCTGTCTTCTGCAATAGCAGCCAGTGCTTTGGCGCTGAGTCTTCTCCAGCCTCTTCCTTCCTTCCTTTCAGAATCGATGCAGATGTTTGAAAGGCTGCAGACGTCGGCAGGTGTATCAGTGTTGAACAGTGCAGGTAGGTCCAACAGATCAGCAGGTGTGGAAGCTGGTTTCTGGGTAGGGACATCTGGGAGATCCTGTAGGTGCTGAGCTAACAAGGCAAGACTTACTGTGCTTGAAGTGAAACATGGAGAATGCTGTAGATGACTTAAAAAGTTGGGTCTAACAATGCTTATTGTTAGCTCTGTAATTACGGTGGTGTTCTCTAACCGGCTGTTAGAGACAGCAAAGACAGACCCCTGAGAGGTTTTACAACAGCCTTATTTCACCCCAAGCCCCATCCCATGACATCTGCTCCAGTAATTTCCATCCGGGCTGCCTCCCATCCAGAATTCCATAAACACCTGCTAATGTTCTTCATCCGGGCTGCTTCCTCCATCCACGCCGATCTATCTGGCCATGCTCCTCTCCGTGGTAACCCATGGTGGTTCTCTGCTTCCTTCCTCTTCCTGGACCTGTCTTTCCTTCCCAAGATCCTCCTGTCCTCAGAGCACTCACAGCTTAGCCTGGTCTACCTCGTTTCTGCCCATGCCAGGTGTAAGCCCTTAATCAGCCAATCAGATAACTGACGAGCATTCCTTATCATCACGTGGGTTACAGAGCTAGTTAAACGTTCATAACAAAGCCCATGGCACCAGGTAACCAGACCTCAAGGCACTGAATCAGCATCTGGAAACAGACCTTCCTCCATCAGAGAAATATGTGTCCCCTCTTCAGTCTGTGCAGCTGACAGATGTCCTCTCAGCCAGTGCAGCTGACAGGTGTGTCCTCCTCAGTCTGTGCAGCTGACAGATGTGTCCCCTCAGCCAGTGCAGCTGACAGATGTGTCCTCCTCAGTCTGTGCAGCTGACAGATGTGTCCCCTCAGCCAGTGCAGCTGACAGGTGTGTCCTCCTCAGTCTGTGCAGCTGACAGGTGTGTCCCCTCAGCCAGTGCAGCTGACAGGTGTGTCCTCCTCAGCCAGTGCAGCTGACAGATGTGTCCTCTTCAGCCAGTGCAGCTGACAGGTGTGTCCCCTCTTCAGCCAGTGCAGCTGACAGGTGTGTCCCCTCAGCCAGTGCAGCTGACAGATGTGTCCCCTCCTCAGTCTGTGCAGCTGACAGGTGTGTCCTCCTCAGTCTGTGCAGCTGACAGGTGTGTCCTCCTCAGCCAGTGCAGCTGACAGGTGTGTCCTCCTCAGCCAGTGCAGCTGACAGGTGTGTCCTCCTCAGCCAGTGCAGCTGACAGATGTGTCCCCTCCTCAGTCTGTGCAGCTGACAGGTGTGTCCCCTCAGCCAGTGCAGCTGACAGGTGTGTCCTCAGTCTGTGCAGCTGACAGATGTGTCCTCCTCAGCCAGTGCAGCTGACAGATGTGTCCTCCTCAGTCTGTGCAGCTGACAGATGTGTCCTCAGTCTGTGCAGCTGACAGGTGTGTCCCCTCCTCAGTCTGTGCAGCTGACAGGTGTGTCCTCTTCAGCCAGTGCAGCTGACAGGTGTGTCCTCTTCTCAGCCAGTGACAGGTGTGTCACTGTATAGCCCTGGCTGTCCTGGAACTCACTCTGTAGGCCAGGCTGGTAATCAGAGGTGATCTCAGCAGAGACCTTGAATACTCACGTGGATTCAGAGGTTCATTCTGGGATAGCAGCTGGTCTTGTTGGAAATTGGTTTGATGTATGGTCTGGCCTCAAGATCTGGTCACACCTGTTCTTGTTGTGTAAACCTGCTGACATATATCTGATTGGTTGATTCAACAGCCTATACCTGGGCAGGGCAGAATGGGGTAGCCGTGGCTAAAATTTCCAGGCTTGGGGAGGACAGAAGAATCACAGAGACAGACCAACAGGAAGAGAGGAGGGAGGACCCAGTGTGGAGAAGGAATGACGTGGGCCAGGAGGAAGGACTGGAATAACAGCGTGAGAAGTCCCAGATGAAGAACACAAGCAAGTGCCATGGGATTATGGATGGAAGGTGGACCAGATGAGGGTTAAGGCGGATGGCATTGGATGGGGGCTGGGAGATGAGATGGATGGTGAGGATACTGAGACAGCGCAGGGGAAATATCTGCCCGGCCCAAGGAAATAAGGCAATTATGAATCTAACAGGTGTCTGTGTCTCATTATTTGTGATAGTGGGTTAGATAATACTGTCACAATAATTCTAAGGCTAATAACAAACATTATATAGCCCAACACTCATTTTTATATTTACTAAAGCACAGGCTCTTGGTTCAGCCACCCCAGTTCCTAACAAAGTGGCCACAGTAGCAGGGACATGGACTTTGCCTGGTGCAGCGCCCAGGGCCTGGCTGTAGCTGCTGCATGCAGACCCACCAGAAGCAGGGACCAACACAGGGACCCTAGTATGGCACCAGTTCCCACGGTGGCAGGCAGTACCCTGACAGCGTGAGCACGTCTTTCCTGCAGTCCTCAGCCCCATGTCTTCTTCCTTCGCTCACTCACCATCTGCCGACTGGGTCTACTAATGTTCTGAATGTAGAAATGAGTCCCAGGTGACAGCAGCTGCAGGGACGTTGGGTCAGCCGAGGTGGAACAAGCTGCAGGCTTTGCCGGCTGAGATGTCAGTTTTAGCGGTGCGCATGGGGCTTAGGCAGGAGGATGCCCCATCCGGAGCTGATGGCACAGGACGTCTGTAGGAAGGCTGTTTTGTACACGGCTGTAGCTTGTCTTTGCATCTCTGTGGGTTCTTTCCTCCACCCCTTTTCTTCCATTTTTTTCAACACTAGACAAGAGAGAAAAAAGGATAGAGAAAAAGAAAGCGTGACTGACAGCTTTGATTTTGGCTAAAAGAACAGAAAGAAAAGAGATGTGTAAAACATGAAGGGAGAAGGTGAAGGAGAATCCGAATGACTCCCTGGTGTCCAGGCTTTGTGGAGAGGAGATGTAGATTTTCAGTTGGGACTCCCTTGATGAAGCAGGCTTTGATCACATGAACTGAGTGGGAGCCTTCCATGACAGAAGGGACATAACTGTCATGCCTGGTTTTGGGTGGCTTCTCCGTTTCAGTCTAACTTGAGAATGCTTTGGTGCTAGCTCTTCATGTCGGGGCCTGTTCCTGTCATACTAATATAGTTGGCACGGATGTCTTGAATGTGAGACATGGCAGCACCCTCTCTGGTGAGCAAGAGCTCTTTGTCTTTGTGTAAATAAACAACCACAGCTGCAAGTTAAACCTTGGCTACTGTTCTCTGCAAGTTGAAGTGGCTCTCTTGACACTCCAGAAGAGGGAACATTTTGACTGCAGTCACGCCTTTCATGAAAGCAGCCCGGAGCCACCTGCCTGCCGACCTGTGTGCTGTTCCTGGTTCTACTCTAACAGGTTGTGGGAGCGCAGAAGACCAGATTAGAGGAAGCAGTGACTTGTGGGAAACCCCGACCGTCAGCGCCCAGGGTGTCAGCTTTGGTTACTTGAAAAAGGACAAATCATGCCAGTAAACCTTCTCCTGGGACATTGCCATCACTTTTGGAAGCCTCATCCCTCAGAGAGAGCCGCTGTGAGGACCAGGGAGAAGAGAGCGGCACTTGCAGGTGCCTGTGCTGGAGTGGACATGTGTCTGTGTCCTTCGGTCTGTCTGTCACGTTAAGTCAAACTGCCTCTCCTTGGGGCTCCAGGACTCCTAGCTGGACCTGGGTTTTGTTTTATTTCTTTTTAAAGGTATTTTCCCTGATGTGTATGGCTGTGTTCAGGTGTGTGTCAGTGCAGGTGTTTGTTTAAATGTCATGGCATGCATGTGGAATTGGAGGATGGCCTCAGGTGTGGGCTCTTCCATCGTGTTGGAGGCAGGGTGTTTGTTCATTGCTGTGTACCCCAGGCTGGCTGGCCTCTGAGCTGGGGGTTCTCCTGTGTCTGCCTCTCATCTCACAGTAGAGTGCTGTAGGTACTGGCTGCTTCATCTGGCTCTGGGAATTTGAACTCAGGTCTTTAGGCTTGTATGAGAAATACTTTACCCACTGAGTTAGCTCCCTGTTGTTATAAAGAAAGTAACTCTCAAACTGTTTAATTTTACTAATGAAGACTCAGGAGCCAGATGCTGGGGTGAAAATCTGCTAGCTCAGAGAGGCAGAGAAAGTACCAGCTGACGCTCCTACTTAGCTCACGTCCCAAAGGAAAAAGCCTAAAACAAAGCTAAAAACCAAAAGTTCAAAGCTAAAAGCCCAAAAAGCCAAAGAGCTTGCTAGCTCAGTTGACAGGAAGAAAGGAAGAAAAAGCCAGAAACCAAAGAGCTAAAAGCTTTCTTCTCCATGCTGTCTTAAATATGTGTCTCTCAAAGCCCTCCTACTCTTCAGTCCCTGTCAGCTGGTTTCTTGCTCTTCCTCTGGATTGACCTAGGATTTACTTTATTAGATCCTGTATACAGAAAGCTCTTGCATTAAAGTTGTGTGCTAGGGCTGAGTCACACAGTAATTATTTGTTTACAGTAAACAGAAAGTTCTTGGATTAAAGGGCTGAGCTACACCAAACAAGAAACAGGTTTTTATAGTTCACAATCTCCCGGTTCACTAGGGGTCCGATATCCTGCAGCAGCTCCCCAGTTGTGGACATTCACTTGGCATAACAAGGGTCAGTGGGAAGAAAACACAGGTTTTTACACACAGGATAAGAGAATGGAAGCCCAAAGGAGTAGGGCCCATA